ATTTATTTCAAAGTTTTAAGAGGTATATTTATTGCTCAATTTAAGTTTTTTATAAAGATTTAATATTTTATTTATTTATTTGAGAGAGACAGTTACAGACAATAAGACGGAGAGAGGGAGAGAGGTCTTCCATCCACTGGTTCACTCCCCAAATGGCTGCAACAGCCAGAGCTGCGCCAGTCCTAAGCCAGGAGCCAGGAGTTTCTTCCGCGTCTCTCACAGAGGTGCAGGGGCCCAAGCATTTGGGCCATCTTTTTATTTGTCTTTTTTTTTTTAAGCATCTGGGCCATCTTCTACTGCTTTCCCAAGCCATAGCCAAGAGCGGATTGGAAGAGGGGCAGCCAGGACAAGAATCAGCACCCACATGGGATGTCAGCACCACAGGTGGAGGATTAACCTACAGAGCGACAGCGCCCACAGATTTATTTATTTATTTAATTTGAAAGGCAGAGTAACAGAGAGGTGGGGGAGAGGGGTATCTTCCACTCGCTGGTCCACTCCCCAAATGGCCACAAAGGCTGGAGCTGGGCCAATCTGAAACCAGGAGCTTGGAGCTTCTTCTGGATCTCCCACATGGGAGCAGGGCCCAAAGACTTGGGTCATCTTCCACTGCTTTCCCAGGCCACAGCAGAGAGCTAGATCAGAAGTGGAGCAGCCGGGACTCAAACTGACACCCACATGGGATGCCAGCACTGCAGACAGCAGCTTTATCCACTACTTCATAGTGTCGGCCCCTCAACTGAAGTCTTTATATAGGACATATATATGATATAATGCATTAGTTCCATTTTTCCACAAAATTTTAAAGTATCCTCTTACTTACATTAGAATGTTTATTTGGTATTTTACCTTAAAATCAAACGTAACTGCACCCTAGGCTTAGCCCCATCTCCCCATGCCTTGGTTTCCATCTGTAATCCCCAGAAAACAACTGGCGCTCCCTCTGCCCATCTGACAGGTCAAGAAGGGGAGGCTCTGACACTTTACATCCCTGGCTCAAGGCTACTCTGCTGGTGAGAAGCTGGGCCAGGATGAAGGCCAGGTGAGTGGTTCAGAAGCCCACAGCAGCGATGGGGACATGAGCTCTCTGGGTGGAGGAAGGACCTGGAACTTTGCCATGGAAGTGGCCCAGAGACAAGTCCTCAGCACGCACCAAGAACTCTGCTGAGTTGAGTCAAGAGCAGGAATCGTGTATTCCTGTGGTTTGCCTCCAAGCGCCTTTCGTCTTGGGCTGCGGAAATCATTGTTAGAGGCACAGATAGTTTCAGGATTCTCTAAGAGCTCCTGACCACTCTGTGGGAAAGGGCATTCCCATGGTCAACTGATGCCATCCCCCACAAGTAGGTACATGCAAGGGAACAGCCGCTGCCCTGGCCATGCTGTGAAGCCCCACCTCAGTTTAGGGCACCTGGGGGCAATACGGGTGTGCCTCCCAGTCCAGGTGCCCAAGAGCCAACCCAGACAAGCAGCCGCTCCAGACAGCTGTGGGCAGTGCCCAGAGGAGCCCCTCCCCGCTGCCTGTCACCCACGATGCCACAGAGCCCGCCCCCATCCTGCACATATACCCCCACCGGCACCAGCATGCAGGTGGAAATGGCTGTTCTCTGACACACCTGGCTTTGGCCTGGCCCAGCCCCAGCTGTTGTGGGCATTTGGAGAATCAACCAGCAGACAGCAAACCTCTCTCTGTCCTCAGTCTTTGTCTCTGCCGTTCAGGATAAAGAAAATCAATAAAATTTTGGAAGCATTTAGAGAGCCCTCAGGGCACTCCTTGGCACAAGGGAAGGGCTCAGTGAGTGACACAGGTTGAGTCACTTGGGACCAGAAGTGTCTCAGATTTGGGCAATTTGGGGATTTGGGGATATTGGCATATGCTTAAGCTATCTTGGGGATGGGACCACGGCTAACCATGGAATTCCCCGTGCTTCACACACTCCTTGCGCACGTACTGTTAGAAAGTATTTTTAGATGCCTGCATTTTGACTGGTGCTTGTCACATGAGAGCAGCTGGAAAGGTTCCACCTGTGCTGTCATCCAGTGCTCAGAAAGTGTCTGATTCTGGAGCAGTCTGGAATTCTGGACTAGAGGTGCCCAGCCTATGCTGCTATTTGAAAATACCCAATGGCGGTCACTCTTGACCTTTGCAAAGAGCCCCTCTCCTACCCCTGGGGCCTAGTTCACCCTGGGGTGCTGGGGACCCACTGAAACAGAGGGTCCCAGCACGGTGGAGGGCTTGGGGGCTGCTGGCTCTGCCACTGTGGTAGCCCAAGTGTCTGCCCTGGTTCTTGCTCTTGCAGTGTGGGAAGGCGGCCCCGTGGCCTGGCCTCCACGTTCTCAGCCCTTCAAACACCCTCTCTTCCTCCTCATAGCATGGGGTGCTCAGGAACGGCTTCACCATTCCAGGAATGCCCAGCCCCAATTCCCAGTCCCTGCCTGCTGGCTGGCGTCAATGACGCCCAGGTCCAGGATGATTCACACCTGGCTCACTCTGGGCCCAGATCACACTTAATCAGCCAGACAAGATGGCACCTCCCCGCAGGCTCCCTGCAGCCAGATCACCCGGCGTGGTTGGCATGTTAGCTCACGGAGAGATTCCGGCAGGCTGGAGTGCGAAGTGGGCAGCGTGGCACCCAATGAGGCCAGGCTGGATACTGGCCCTAACACCAGCTTTCTAGGCCTCAGTTCCCCTGGCTGTAAAATGGGAATTACAACCGTGCCTCTGCTCTAAACATTGCTGTTAAGACGTTTAAAGGTGGTGCCCGTGCTGTGGTGCAGCAGGTAAGGCCACCACTGTCTCGGGTAACAGGAAAGTTCTGAAAATGGAGAGTACTGAGCACCTCAAAATTCAACATGTAAAACAGCCTGATGTTTAGTACATACAGAATTTTATGGGGACCAGTACTGTGGCCTAGAAGGTTAAGCCTCTGCCTGCAGGGCTGGCATCACATACTGGTGCCAGTTTGAGACCTGGCTGCTTCACTTCCAATCCAGCTCTCTAATGCTCCTGGGAAGGCAGTGGAAGATGGCCCAAGTACTTGGGCCCCTGCCACCCACATGGGTGACCTGTATGGAGTTCCTGGCTCCTGGATTCAGCCTGGTCCAGCCCCAGCCATTGTGGCCATTTGGGGAGTAAGCCAGTGGATGGAAGATCTCTCTCTCTCTTTCTCTCTCTCTCTCTCTCTCTGTGTGTGTCTCCTCCTCTCTCTGTAACTCTGCCTTTCAAATAAAATAAAATTTTTTTAAAAAATAGAATTTTATGAATTTATATCTCATAAAACAGTATTTTTAAATGGTAAGAATAAGAGGAACACATTTTTCAAGTGTTTTAAAAATGATAATAAGGAGAAGGATGTCCTGGCTCCAACCGAGAACTGAGCACAGGCCATCAGACACAGGTTTTGACCCCTGCCCGGTGGAGTGACCTGGAAACAGCTCCTTGCCTGTCACACTCCTGGGCGTCTCTCCTGCTCCTGCTGCCCACAGCCTAGGCTGGCGTGAAGCACGGAGCTGGGGCTTCTCTTCAGTCACTAGCACTGACAGGTGCAGCTGTGGCACTCGGGAAAGAACGGGAACTCAGCACACTGCTCTCCTGACCCTGAGGCAGGCCTCAGGAAGCAGACCTGGGCGGGGGCCTGGAACCTCCTCCAGTTTCTCCTGTTCTCCTGGGTCCGAGCTATGCAGGAAGAGGGATGAAAACATCCCCTCAGTCTCTCCTGCTGCTGAGAATTCTTCCTTTTGTTCCAAGTCTCGGTGGCCCGAGGCAGCTACAGGGCTTGGATGGAGTACAGCACTGGGCACAGACCCAGGGCAGGACATAAAGATTCAGCCTTGACATTTTACAGATGGAAATGTGCTTCTGCACAGTCATGGTTGGGCCCGGAGGCAGCACATTTTATTTCAGGCCCTCTTACAGTCCTGGTGCCCGTAGGGGTAACAGCACTGCCCACAGCACCAACGCTACCTGACCTTGGCCTTCCACGGGGCTCTCCCACTGTGGGAGCTTCGGGGAAGCTGAGGTTGCCTAACACTCTGGGACTGCACAGTCTTTCTGTTCCCACTTCTGCTTTATCAGCTTGTCACACTTGGGTGGGGCAGGGTGGGCTTACCTGCCACACTGTCGTGTGCTAGTGCACGTTGCTAGTGCACCACTGTGCTCTGAGAAAGAATTTTAAAGATTTATTTGAAAGGCAGAAAAACAGGCAGAGAGAGAGAGAGAATTAACCATCCACTGGTTCACTCCCCAGATAGCCACAACCAGCAGGGCCAAGGCTGGGCCATGCCAAAGTCAAGAACCTGGAACTCCATCTGGGTCTCCCATACGGGTGCAGGGGCCCAGGCACTTGGGTTATCCTCTGCTGCCTTCCCAGGCTCATTAGCAGGGGGCTGGATAGGAAGTGGAGCAGCTGGCACTCCCACCACTGCTCTTTATGGGATTCTGGCATTGCAGGGGCAGCTTAACCTGCTGCACCATGAAGTCAGCCCCTATTCTGAGGATTTTGAATCATGCACATGGAAGAGTTTGGTGTTGCCCCAGCCCTGCTCCCTCCCCACTCACCATTTCTGCATCCTTGGCCCCATTTCCAAATCTATCTGAGGTCCCTCTGGGCTACGATACCCAGGTCCCAAACAAGCCAGACTCCTAAGGAGCTGGGGCACCCCAGAGTGGGCTCCACTCAGTGCCTGATGGGGACTGGTAGATAAACACTCAGGTTTCCCTGCCCCTCAGTCAAGGTGCCACTCAGAGGGACAGGGACAGAGCTCCAGGTGCCCCAGGGACAGCACACTCGCTAGACAACTCGCCCTTGTTTCTCCCCTCTTCCTCTCCCAGATCACATCCCAGGTAAACCATGTATCTCTGAGTCTCTCGGGGTCTGCTCAAAAGGGACACGATCTCGGTTGACCCCAGAGAACCAGGGAGGGTGGCACTGGGGGCTCTTCAGCAGACCGGAAACAGGCTCAGAGATGCTTTATCAACTTCTCCAAGGCTATAACACGCCCGGAGGAGCAGCTTGGAATTCTGACACCGCCCAGCCGCTGTGGTGTCCATGGCAACAGGAAACTGCATGCATAAGCCCCTCCCTCTCCTCTATGCTCCGCCCCCCACACTTGCCAAGGAATGGGGCTGGGAAGGGGCGCACACGTCGCACCCACAGCCTGCCCACCGCCAGGGGGCGTCCTCGCCGGAGGGACAGGCCGGCTCCGAGACAGGTCGGACGCAGCCACAGGAGGAACCCAGGAGTCGCCTCCGGCCCCAGTGCGGAGGTTGGAGCCCCCGCAGGACGACGTCAGCCGTGACCTTTCTCAAAGCTCTCGGGTTTCTGAGCTGTTAACTCGGCACACACACGCGCACTTCCCCAGATGGTAGCACTGGGAGGTGGGCAGCCACAGCAGGTAGAGGATTCTAGAAACCCTAGCTGTTCCTACCCAGCCCCCTGCACCAGGGACACAGGGCGCCCTCTCCCTTGGGGCATGGAGCTCACGTGGGGCTGTCATTTCGGGGAAGCTGTGGCCTGTGCCTGGCAGCAGGGAGGAAGCAGAACGGAGAACCCTGATCTCCACTTGGGGGATCCCTCGGGATCCCGCGCCAGTGTCCCCAGGACATGCAGGCTTCCCGCTGTTTGGGTTCCGACTTTGGACTGTGGTGGGGGTAAGGATTCTGGATTTATTTGACTTAACAAGCTGTGAAAACCAGCTCTGGATTCCTGAATACACCCACAGAGCCCTTTCGTGTTTTCAGATTTATCTTAACATTGAAGTATGTGTCTCAGACTGTCTTAGGTCACGCCCCCGGAGCCGGGGAGACACGGAGCAAGCAGGAGGGAGGATGCGCTCTCTCAGGCAGAGTCCCTCCCTGGAGGGTGGCTTCTGTCTAGCATACAGGGACCTGTGGTTTAAGGCGCATCTTAAGCGGCCCGTCTCTCTCCCCGTTGCTCCTAGCCAAAACTCATTCAGTTGGTACTTGCTGACAGGACTGCCCCAGCGATGGAAACTCAACTCGGGCAAGACCACCTCCAGAGGAGTGGCAGGGGGGTCAGCAAGGGGTCCCAGCAGGGCATCCACCTTATCTTGTCAGCCTGCCCATCCCATTCAGAATTCAGGATGAAAACTATTCAGCACAAAAGGACAAAAATGACTAATTGGACATTCAGGCAATGAGGAAACAGATTAAAAAGCAAATATTCCTGGAAGGAAACTTGGAACACTAAAATGTTTCTAGATAAGGATTATAGTGAGCTTCCCAGCAGCCAAGATAAAGAGACAAAAGGAACTGAATGCAAGAATGATGATGCTGGGGCCGGCCAGTGGCATAGGTTAAGCCTCTGCCTGTTGCCTCAGCAGCCCATATGGATTCCAGTTCGTGTCCTGGCTGCTCTTCTTCCTATCCAGCTCCCTGCTTGTGGCCTGGGGAAAGCAGCAGAGGATGCCCCAACTGCTTGGGCCCCTGTCATCCACATGGGAGACCTGGAAGAAGCTGCTGGCTCCTGGCTTCTGCCTGGCCCACCCTGGCCATTGCAGCCATCTGGGAAGTGACCCAGCAGATGGAAGAGCTCTCTCTCTTTCTCTCCATCTCTCTATGTAACCCTTTCAAATAAATAAATAATCTTTAATAAATAAAATTGTAATATATTACATTTAATTCCATATATTAAAATATAATCTTGAAACATGTGATGAATATAAAATGTTTACTGAGGAAGTGGCTTACATTTTTTCACACTAAGTCTTTTTAAATCCAGTATATATGCTGCTTATAGCACATCTCAGTTGGTATGAAAAATTTCCACCAGAAATACTGATCTGTATTTTTCATAGAACTAGAAAAAAACTAGATTTGCATACGTGTTCCAGCTACAGTTTTCCAATAACTGATATTTTCAAACATAAATTTTATAAATTTAAATAAAACATCTTACTCCTCAGCCACATTAGCTCCACTTTCCCATGAGGCAGGTGCCTGCCATAAAGGCCGATCTGAGCATGAAGAGCTCATGGTGGCAGCTGCCTGCCATTTATGTGGGAGTGAACAGTGAGTCCCGGTTCCAGCTTCTGCGGAGCAGTCTTGGTTCTCGGAGTCATCTCGTTCCTTCTCACAGTGCCTTAAGTGTGCCTGGGCTTGCCAAGCTAGGTCTGAATTATTGCTTTGAAAACCACTCCCAGCAAATAAATATTCAGAGTGGCCCAGGCTGTGTGGGGAACCCCAGCACAGCCGCTCCTTCACCAAAGCCTCTCCCCTCCGGGAATCCTGAGAGAGTAATGCCTTCCCCATTCCGTGCGACCACGCAGGATGGTGATGCCAAGAGAACTGCCTTACAAGGCAATTTGGTGTTGTGTGTGTGAAGCCTCAAATATCTTCACAACCCATGATCTAAGCAAATCCCTTCTCTGAGTTAACTCCAGAAATTGGAAAGGCACGCTGAGATTCATGAACAAGTGGCATTTGAACAGAGACCGGTACAGTGGAAAACAAACTGGACATAACATAAATACCCAATGCTTACACAAATGGCAGGGCATTCCCTCCTAGCAAACGTCATGCAGCCCTGAAAATAATGGTGAAGAAAATGCAACCATTCACAAAATGCCCATGAGGTATTATTAAGAGGGAAATAGAGTGATAACATTTTTTTAAAGATTTATTAATTTATTTGAAAGGCAGAGTTACTGATAGGCAGAGGCAGAGAGAGTGACAGCGAGAGAGGTCTTCCATCTGCTGGTTCACTCCCTAGATGGCCACAATGGCTGTAGCTGCGCCAATCCGAAACCAGGAGCCAGGAGTTTCCTCCAGGTCTCCCATGTGGGTGCAGGGTCCCAAGGACTTGGGCTATCTTTGTTAGGAAACTGGCGCAGTTGTAGCCAGGTGGCCACATGGCCCAGCTACCTGTGCCAGGCTCCACCCCATCCTAATGGGATTCGATGCTCCTGCTTCCCTGCCCACCCTCAGGCAAAGTTTTAAAAGGGCCTGTTCCTGCAAACGTGCTCTTTCGGTCCTTCTCTCCTTCGCTCTCTTGGCCTCTCTTGGCTCCTCTCCTCCTCTCACCTCTCTTCTCCCTCCTCTCTGTCTCTCTCTCTTACAGTCTCCTTCTCTTTTTCCTTCGCCGCCCCTTCACTCCGGTCTGTAGGATGTTCCCCAATAAACCCTTTCCCTTACTCCGGTGTCCGGTGTGCTTTGCGACGGCTAACATTAAGATAGAACAATCTTCTACTGGCTTCCTAGGCCGCAGCAGAGAGCCAGATCAGAAGTAGAACAGCCGGGACTCAACCCAGCACCCATATGGAATGCCGGCACCACAGGTGGCAGCTTTACCCACTCTGCCACAGCGCCAGCCCCTAGAGAGGTACCATTTTATAGGCTGACACAGTCATGAGAAACAAAGGCTGTGGTTCAGTGTGAATTTTTTTCTACATCACAACAGCCCTCCTTCCCCTAGGACAACTAAGAAGCAAGATCATAGCAGATTGGGCTACAGTGTGGAAAACATCTAGAACAAGTGTCAATTAGGAAGAGAGGAGGACAAAAAACCAACTCGTATCTGAGTAGGCAAAGCCAGTGTCATCTGAGCAATGGACTGTCAGTGGAGCTCTCCAGGCTAAGAAGCCAGGCCCCTGGGCAGCAAGACAACAGAAGGAGATGATGGGGCAGGCACTTGGCCCAGCAGTTAAGATGCCCACGTCCCACACTCAAGTGCCTGCCTTCCCATCCAGCTCTGCTGCCGATTCCAGCTTCCCGCTAATGTGGATCTTGGAAAGCAGCAGGTGATGGCTCAACTAACTGGTTTCCTGCCACTCACATGGGAGAGCTGAGTTTCCAGCTCCTGGCTCCTGACACTGGTGGCATAAGGGGAGTGAACCAGTAGATGGGAGCTGTCTCTCTGCTTCATAAATAAATATTTTTAAAAGATAAATAATAAGAAGAATGAGCTGATGAAGACATGATGTCAATCCAAGGTCTCGGCACCTTTGTGACTGTGTTAATGTGAGAGCTGCTCAGTTTAGAAATCATTGTGGGGCTGGTGCTGTGGCATAGCGGGTAAAGCCACCACCTGCAGCACTAGCATCCCATATGGGTGCCAGTTCAAGTCCTGGCTGTGTTGTGTTCCGGATCACCCAGATAGAAAGAACCAGCAAGACTCACCGTAATGCAAAGAACAAAGGGATTTACCACGGGTCCAGCATGCTGGAGCCTGGCCTCCCGTAAGGCACAGTGCTGAAAGACCAAGACCCCCTTTCTTTGTTCCTGGGGTTTTTATAGTTCCCGGGCAAACAAGTATTACATCCGTATTCCTTCTTTCCCATATGGCCATACATGGAGCCCCCCCACCTTGGTTGCCCCCACCTGGCCCTGCCGGACCAAGGACAGCCCACCTCATTGGTTGCCCCCAACTGGCCCTGCCAGACCAAGGTCAGCCTGGTGTCAGGTTTCGTCTTCCCCCAACAGGTGCATCCTGGGCCTAGTCAATTTCTTTGTCTTGTGAGAAGCCTGTCATGGCGTGGCTCTGGCCTCTCACAGCTGCTCCACTTCCAATCTAGCTCTCCGTTATGGCCTAGGAAAGCAGTAGAAAATGGCCCAACTCCTTGGGCCCATGTACCTACGTGGGAGACAAGAAGGAAGCTTCCTGGCTTTTGGCTTCAAATTAGCTCAGCTCAGCTCTGGCCATTGCAACCATTTGGGGAATGAACCAGCAAGTGCAAGACCTCTCTGTCTCTCTGTAACTATGCCTCTCAAATGGAAGGAAGGAAGGGAGGGAGGGAGGGAGGGAGGGAATGTTCTCTTCTGGGCACCTTCTGTCTCCATTCTCAGGCGTTTGAAGCACATGAGAGAATCTAAAACATTAGCGAATTTTAAAAGAATATTTAGGGAAGTTTAATTAATCACACTTCATTCAGTGTTTAAACATTTGGAGAAATATAATCAGTTAACTTATTTTAGTTTTAATTTAATAACTAAGCATATTTTGGGTTGCTATTTAAAGAACAAAGGATACAGGGATGGTATGGTGGTGCAGTGGGTTAAGCTGCACTTGTCACGCTAGCATCCCATACTGGAACATGGCTTCTAGTCACTACGTTGCTTCCAATCCAGATCCTTGTTAATGCATCTGAAAAGGCAGTGGCTGATGGCCCAAGAACTTGGGCCCTTGACACCCAGGATGGAGTTCCTGGCTCCTGGTTTTCCCGTGGCCCAACCCTGGCTGTTGTGGCCACTTGGGGAGTGAACAAGAGGACTGGTCAAAACTCTCTCTCTCTCTGCCTGGGTTACCAAATAAATAAATAAGTAAATTTTAAGAAAAAAAGAGCAAAGTATACAAAGTGGTGAGCATTCACACACAAATATGCTCCCCACACAGATGTGCCTTAATGAATCTTGTCAACAAACAAGATGCAGAAACAATCATAATAATACTCCCACTTACGCAGAGAAAAGATTGGGAGAAAGTAAACCAAGATATTAACGGTGGCTATCTATGGTTTGTGAAACAGCAGAGTCATTATTATTTTTTTCTTCATAGTACTTCCCCTCAACTTTTCTACCAGAACATCATGTCACCATCATGATGGGAAAGAATACACCGCACTACCAGAGAAGTCAGGAGTCCTGAGGCTAGAACTGCTCAGCCACGCACATCTACCGCCGGTACAAACCCAGGCAGCTCTGGAGGCCCCACGTCCACTGAAGGCAAGAGAAGGCATCATCTGGCCATTACAGCACCTCCATCTTTCTCTGCTTTTAAATCACCTTATTTGGGATGACACTGTCTGGGGTGTCTCCCCACTACAGCAAGGGTTTTCCTTCCCTTCCTCTTTCCAAGATGGCAGTTGGGTGCAGGGGCAGCTTCCAAAGCTTCAGGTCTGGACTTTGGGACAATGACATGTTGAATGTGAGGCTGGAGACTCTACCATGCTGCCTTGGCATCCCCTGGTTCTCACGAAGGCTCCTGATCCCCAAGGCCTGTATAAGGGGGTGAGGGGAGGAGAGGGTAAAGAGGTGGGGGGGTTGGGGAGTGGGAAGCCCTTTGACTCCTGGCTTGAAACATTCACCCTATGGTTCTCTGTTGCTAATTCCTTTGCCTTTTGCCATGTTGACGTCCTGGTGAACTCACCAGCAAGCCCCTTGACTACCTTCCAGGGACCCCGGTAGCACAGAAAAACTTCTGCAGTCCTTTCATGTAATGTAATGGATGCAGTCCATCCATTACAAACCAGGGGTGTGATCCCAAACCCAGCCCATGGGAGCCCCTCCATGGCTTGGTCGCCATGTTGGATGTCATGTCCAGCACACCCAAAGGCTCCTCTGAAAGATGTGAGAAGGGGGCACCAGCCCTGAAGCTCTTGGGAGTCCTTGAAACTGCCTGGGTGTTTCTAGCCTCCCAAGCATCTGGGGCTTTGCTCCTGATGGGTAGGATGGGAAGAACTAGCACACTCACCACTGACCCTGGCCTGCCTTTTCCTGTCTTCTGTCTCAGCTCCTTCCCCAAGTCTCAAAAATAGCTGCTCTCCTTCCGGTGGGGTAGAAATTCCCTGGGGTCATATCTGCCACCTTCCCTCCTCTATGATTCACTGGAGAATCACTCATTTTCTCTGGGCTTGGAGTTTTTTGATATGCAAAATCTCTAGCCTTGGGAATTTTAAAGAAAGCTCTTTCTCTGGGCAGTCTCCATTTGGAGACCATTGTCTTGCTATGAGATTTCAAACTGCAACCAGGGAAATGGCACCTTTGATTCAGGCTGTAGTTGGCTCTTCCTTGGAGAGCTTTGCCTCTGCTTCCTGGTCTGGGCTCAATGGCACAGGGGCTATGCGGGGTTGGAATTCCCCTTTAAAGGAAGTCTTGTCTGAGGAAATGGCTCTGATGGGCATGTTTCCCTTGTTGAGGGCGTTAACCCCCATGAACCTGCATGGGCCACCTGGAGAATTTGCTGAATAAAGTAACAGAAGCACAGGAAGTGGGGGCCGGGGCCTGCAGTTGTGTCCCCAGGGAAACAAGAGCTAAGGTTCACTCAGGACTCTTCTCCCACTCCCCTTTTCTCATCTCCGGCTCCCAGTGTCACCCTGGTTCCTCACACCTGCCCCTTCCAGAAGGAATCCAGAGAATGCCAGTCTCTGTGAGGCATACAGAAGGGTGAAGAAGTGCTAATGACAGTAGCTGAGGGGTGGGGAATGGACACGGGGTGCATGTAGGTCTCACAGGCTCCACAGGTGCTTGGGAGCTCAGATGAGGATCAGGGCTGCCAAGGACTGTTGTGTACGTCATGTACTGCACAACCCTAGGGGCACCATATGCTGGTGGGGGCTGAACCAATCTCTCCATAAAAAATTACAGTGCATTGCCCATGCTGAGACAACTGACCACAGGTGACACAAGCCACAGAGAGGGGTAGTGAACACAATGAGAACAGCCAATACCCAAACATGGGTCAGACAAGCAATGGGAGCCTGAAGAGGCTGCACATCCTCCCTGGAGGCCTCCCCAGCTGTTCAAAAAAACTTCAAGAGAATAGAGTCCCATTAGGGAATGTGTATCTAAATCAGCTGAAGGGCAAAGCTATGTAAAGGTTTGTTTTGTAAACTTTATCGGAGGATCAGAAAAGTACACAAATCACAATAAATTACACACAGCCATCAGGCCAACAGGCAGATCCCAACCTCCCCAGCAGCACTGCCGCTGCTCAACTGTTTGCTTTCCTGTATGTGTGATGTGCCTCAACAAAAGCTCCAAGTGGCACAGACTGTTTTTGAACTTTATGACACAATACCACACACTTGGTATTCTCCCTGGCTGGCGCCGTCGCTCCCTACTATGGCTGTGAAATGTGCCTGTGCTGTGGTGCTCTGTCACGGTTCCGGAACCCTCTCTGCCATGTGGCATCTCCGAGAGAGTGGGGCTGTTGTCCTATGGGTAAGGTACATGGGTGGTTTCTATTCTGCAGCAATTACAAATAGGGCTACACTACATGTTCTACTGTGCACTACTTCTGGCACACATGTGCACACACTCACACTCACACACAAAGGTTTTGTGTGTTCCTGGGAGAGCATGTCTGAGTCACAGTGCATTTGTTCATAGCAGACAAAGCCAGGCACTCTTCTACTTTACTCTCCTATCAACCGTGGAGGACGGCTAGGCTTGTTCCACATCCCCTCCAACACTTGCAATTGTCAGCCTTTTAACTTTAGCCATCCTAGTGGATCTACAGTGATATTTCACTGCAGTTTTCAGTTGAGCCTCTTTTCATATTTTTATTGACCTATTAAATGGTCCCTCTGTGAAGTGCCGGTTCAAGTCACTCGCCTAATTCTCTGTCAAGCTATCGGCATTACCTATCCATATTCAAGAATTCTTGGGGCTGACACTGTGGTGTAGCAGGTAAAGCTGCCGCCTGCAGTGCTGGCATCCCATACAGGCGCTGGTTCAAGTCCTGGCTGCTCCACTTCCAATCCAGCTCCCTGCTGATGGCCTGGGAAAGCAGATAAGATGGCCCAAGTCCTAGGCCCTTGCACCAACGTAGAAGACCCAGAAGAAGCTCCTGGCTCCAGGCTTTGGATCAGCACAGCTTCACCAGTTGCTGCCATGTGGGAGTGAACCAGCAGATAGAAGACCTCTCTCCCTCTCTCTCTCTCTCTCTCTCTCTCTGCTTCTCTATAACTCTTTCAAGTAAATAACTAAATATATATAAAAAAGAGCTCTTTATGTATTTAGAATTCTCTGTGGGATATATTTACCACAAATAACCTCTCTTAGGCTGCGATTTTGTTTTCACAGTCTTGTCTTCTGATGATCAGAAGTTCTTAATTTTAATGTAACCTAATTTATCAAAAAATCTCCTCTTATAGTTAGTGCTTTTGTGTTATACTTGAGAATTCTTTGCCTGTTCCAGATTCATTTTTAAAGCAATTTCAAGTTGAAAGAAATGAAAGTTCAAAGTAGGATGAATCACTTAAGAGGAAAAATTTTAGGCAATATTTTTATGTAGGTCTGAGTTGTAATGTAAAAATTTCAACTCCAAACATGTATTTTAGATTTAACTGGATTCTGAAAAAAAAAGTTTAGTGAGTAGGCTTTTTAAAAAACTAATCATTGGGGCCAGCGTTGTGGCGTAGCAAGTAAAGCCACCACTTGCAATGCTGGCATCCTATAAGGGCTCCAGTTCAAGACCTGGCTGCTCCACTTCTGATCCAGCTCCCTGCTAATGTGCCTGGGAAAGCAACGGAGGATGGCCCAAGCGCTTGGGCCCCTGAAGCCATGTAGGAGACCCAGAAGAAACTCTTGACTCCTGGCTTTCGCCTGGCCTAGCCATGGCCATTGTAGCCATTTGGGGAGTGAACCAACAGAGGGAGGATCTCTCTCTCTATCTCTTCTTCTATCTGTGTAGCTTTTTCAAATAAGTAAATAAATATTTTAAAAAATTAACCATGGAATATCAGGGTTGCAAGAGTCTGAAAAGTCTCACCTTTCATCAGATGGATTCAGGCCAACAGATACTCACTTAGTACCTCCTGTGCCACTCTCTCTCCTGGGAATCAGTCACATGAAGACAATGAGAACTGACCACATAGCCTGGGGCTTCGTGAAGAACAGAGTGGTGCGCTCTGGCTCCCTCAGGACCAAAGCTGAGGGCAAGGTGCTGGGAGGGAGGTGGGCCCCAGGTGCTGAATGGTCCCAAGGGAGAAGGGTGTACCTGTTTGAGACGGAAGGGCAGTAACACAAGACAGATCCCTCAAAACTGGGTCTGAAATTGCTGCATGTGAGTCTCCAAAGTGGACAAGGTGTGTGTTTCACTCAGGGAGAGGGAGGAGGTGACCTGTGTGTGTGTTACGAAGGGGCTGGCCTTGAAGCAGAACTCTCAGAGCCTGCTCTACAAGGTCTCTATGGGCTTCATGGGCCCAGACCCCATAGCAAAACCCTCAAGCATCCTCTTTTGAAACCTGGGGTGGCAGCAGGTGGCCAGGTGGGAAATCCTGGAGCCAAGGACCAGCACCAGGATGTGGGTGGGCCATGTCCCCCTCACTCAGCAGCATATTGGGACCTGTACCTGCTCTTGCGGGAGCTAGTGGTTTCTGAACTCCCTAGGAAAACATCTCCTTACAAGAAAATTGATTGGAAGGGCCACGACAGGATAAGGAAGCTGTGAGAAGGATGTCTTCCTTGGCTGAATCCCCTAGGGTGACAATTACCGTGCAATGTCACCCATCTGACAACCCTGTTTTGATTTTAAATGCCTTGCTTTCTGAGATGATGCATACCAGGCCAAGACACAAATCTGAGACTGGCTGCAGAAGGGAAAAAGGTGCTCAGTGGATGATGAAGAGGGGATGGAAGAGAACAGCCCTGATTAAGCGCTAGCGCTGTCTGCGGCGGGGCTAATCGTTTTACTCACAGCACCTCATTTTATCCAGACACAAGGGCAGAGAATAACAATCCCCACTTCAGTTTCCCTGAGCCAGCCAAGCTGCAGAAAGTTGAAGTGACTCGCCCAAAGCCGTGCAACACAAGTGGCTGCTGCTAAGAGTTCGGGTTTACTCTCGGGCTAGAGGCCGAAACCCTTTGGCCAGAACATCTGCACCAAGAATGCGGTGTGCATGACAGACACGGGGCTTTGTAGCTGGCCTGCCACACACAAAAGGATAAACAGCCCAGGCTGGAGGGGCTGTATGCCAATGAGATGATGAGATGCCCCGGAGGGCGGCAAACAGTGCAGCAGCCACACCCGCAGGTCTCTCCTGG